CCCTGCTGCTGGGGACAATGGACAGGCTCCTGTGGGCGGAGTTTGCATCCTACTGATAATGGTCTCTATCAGTTGGGCCAGGGCCAGGCCAAACCCGCTGTCCCCCCTCTTCCTATTGCATGTATGCCCCTAGACCACCCTCTCATTACTGTGTAACCTATAGTGCAGCCCCTTCCTGTGATGTATGTCTCTACCTGTAATTAGTGGGCTGGCATGCCCCCAAAAGGCATATAGGCATGGGTCAGCAATATAGAGCACTCGGACTCCTCGGACCTCTCTGACTCTCTGGCTCCCCTCTCTTCCCCTTCTCCCTGTTCCCTTACCCTCCTTCCCTTCCCCCTCTCTCCACGTGTACAGCCAAGCTGGGCTGAGGTGAGCAATGCTACCATGTAATGTATCTAACTGTTTTATTGTAATATCTCTCATGCTCATGATGACTTTATAGCTCTCATGCTCTCGATGACTTTAATATAATACTTATATATCTCAACCGTACAATTGTGCATTACTGAACCCAGAAATTGTACTTACTGAACTAGTAGAGAGTACTAGCGGTGGGGGCTGGTCCCCCACCTCCCTCTTTGACACTTTTAATTTAATACTACAGTACCAATACACTTGCTTGATACAGGGTGGCCTTAAGTAATACAGGTTTATTAAGTAATAAACCTCTTATTACTTAAAAACAAACCAGAGAAATAAAAGTGCAATGCAAAGTCTGCAAAGTACAATGCAGCAAAATGAATAGAATGCGCTCGTATCATTCTACCACACCACACTTCGTTTATCCGTTTATCTGCTGATAGACACTTTTGGCCATCATGACTCATGCTGCAGTGAGTGTTGGTGTATATGTATCTGGTTACTGTTGCTTGTTTTAATCCTTTGGGACATATACCTACAAGTGGAAGTAATGGGACCATATGGTAATTCTTCGAGGAATCACCAAACTATTTCCTACAGCTCTACCATTTTACTCTATCAGCCATCTCCCCATTTTCCCCCCTAAACAAAACCCCCCCAAAACCATTGCCATAGACTTGATGCCAATTCAAAATGATATTACCTAAGGTTTCTGGGACTCTAAATCTATATAGGAGCATTATTCAGCCTCATCTTTCCTGCACGAAGAGGATGGTGGGTTTGAACCTCAGACCTCCAGGCTAGCAGCCCATGTGCAACTCACAGAGCCACCAAGCTTTAATTATACCTCTCACTGCCATCGAGTCAACACTGACTCACAGCAACTCATAGCAATTTTCCTAGATTCATATTTCGTACATCCCATACACTGATTACTAATGAATGCTTACAGATGTTTCTTCTCATTTTGAGTTTGGCCACCTCAGCAGAAGAAGGACCCCAAAGTTTTGCTCCATCTCCATCATTAAACCGGACTCCAAGCTGATACCAAGGGATCAAATAGAAAGGACATGTTTAGAAAATGATGATGGCAACATATGTACAAATATGCTTGATACAATGGATGCATGGGATGTTAGAAGAACTGTAAGAGCCCCCAATAAAATGATTGTTCAAAACAAAACAAAAGGACTCCGCTTTGAGGCTGCTCTTCTCCAGTCAAGTGTTGAGTGCTTTTCAACGGGAGGAGCTCATTGCTGGCACTGTGTTATTTGACAATGTTGGCTATTCCCTTGGAAGTGGGCAATATAGTCCTCCTTCCAAGTCTATCTTATGTCAGGGGAACCAGCCCCTAACAAATCATCACAGGGCCAGCAGGCACAATTGTACAGTGATAATATGTAAAGATTATAGTAAATTCATAGAGAATAAGAAGGAGAAAAGAGAGAATGAAATAAAGGAGTCAAACATTTCATGGTAGCATGCTCATCTCAGCCCCACTTGGTGGTCCACGTGGGGATGTGGATGGTGGGAATTGCAGGAGAGAGAGGACGGGGGAGAGAGGACTGGGAGAGAAAGCTCTTTATTTCTAACCAAGGCTTATATATCTTTTGGGGGCGTGTAAAGTACCCTAATTATAGGTAAAGACATACGTCACAGGAAGGGGTTGTTCTATAAGTGATACAGTAATGAGAGGGGGGAGATCTAGGGGTATACATGCAATAGGAAGGGGAGGGATTGGGGATACACATGTGACAAGATGGGCAGATCTTAGAGTCAGGATGGCAGTCAAACTCTGGCTGTCACTGAGCAGGTTTGACCTGTTCTCTGGCTCTCCATGGAAACAATGACTATCCTTATCAGTAGGGTCTGAGCCCCACCTACAGTGGGCCTGACAGTATTCTGATGGCTGAATGCCTTCGGGGAGAATATCTCTAAGCATCTGACCTCCCACCAAGTGCTGGCAAACAGCCTCTAAGGTTTGGCATATCTTTGGGGGAGACAAAGGTAGGGGAAAGTCTGTTTACATCCGACAATCTTAAGACTCAAAGCTCCGTTGAAATCTGTCCACCGCGGGTGACCCTGCTACCAATTTGAAATAGCAGTGGCATCGCTCCCAGGATGCCAGCAACATACATGCAAGCTACCAGTCTGACGAACTGTCCGACGAGTGATGGTTTGGAGTTTTGGTGTGGGTCGATCCTGGCTTGGCGTCCAGTTCTGACCCTAGAGGCGGAGTACCAGGCAAGCCCCTGACCTCCCCAGCCTGCATTTCTTCTTGGAGTAAGGGAGCCACCGCCAAGTGAGGCCGTGCCGCTCCGAAAGCTGCTGGTTAGGGAGCTGTCTGCTGCCCGAGGAACCCGTGTCGCTCCCACAAGCTCTTTGTGGGCAGCGATCCTGTCTGGGTCACTTTGGGGTCTGCAACCATCAGCAGTGCCAGCCAGGCACACAGTAGGTGCTCAGCAAGGGAAGCCAGGCCCGATGACTTCCGGCCTCGCGCGGTCGCCCAGTGGCTCTGGGTTCCACTCCGCGAGCCCCGCCAGACGCACGCCGGGTTCGGTGGCGCAGGGCCGCGGGAGGTGGTTCTACCGGCCCGGCGCTGCGCCCGCAGCACTGCAGGTGCTCGCGCTCGGAGAGGGGCGCCTCGCCACAGGCCGCGGGAGTCAGGGTGTGCGGGCTACTACCCTGACCCTGAGCGGGTTCGCGCGGGGAGCAGGGGGCTCGGACAGCTTTTCCGTCGGAGGACGCAGAGCGTGTGAGCCGCGCCTTTAAGGCGCTGAGTCGAGCCGGCGCCCGGGTGGAGAGCGGCGCGGGCTGGAGCGCTGCGGCCGGACGGGAGCTGCCCGGTGGGCACTGGGCGCTGGGTTCGGGGGCATCCAGGTGGCGGAGTCCGTTCAGGTGAGCGCGGACGGGCGCGCGGTGTGCACTTAGGGAGCCCAAATGCGGGGGCGCCCACAATGGCCCCGTGACTTAGCCCCCCCCCCGCGCCCCCCACGACCTCGGGAGGCAGAGCTGCCTCACCCACACACACACACACACACACACACACACACACCCGGGAGCAGCGGAGGGGGGGGGGTGTAGGTGGGTCTGAGACCTGAGCCTCTCTTTCTACTCCATCACCCCACTTGGCTCCAGAGCCGGCGTGCTCTCTCCTGGAGCCTTGAGTGGATGTAGGTGGCTTTGCCCTCCTTTCTCTGCACTTCCCAGGTCCCGGCTGCTCGACATCCCAAACCCGGGGGCAGGGTGAGGATGGGTCTGGGACCTGCACCTACCTTCCTTTACGCAGTGCCAGCACTAGCTCCTATATGCTCCCAGCCCTCAGTGCCAGCGCGGGGTGTGTGTGTGTGTGTAGGGGGGGGGTTCTGTACCCACCCACCCCCCACCCCCCACTTTCTGGGGAATGACTTACCCCTCGCTTTCCCAGCGGACGTCACTTCCCAGGTCATCCGCCCCCATCCCATCCCAGACATCTACACACCCTGAGACCTCTCTGAGTCAACATTGCCTGTCCCCGGCAGCCTTTTGGGGGGGTGGGGGGGTGGCCCTCTCCCTAACCTCCCTGTATCCCCTCGTTCTGTGCCCTTCCCTCTGCCCTCCCAGAGTCGGGATGCTGGTCTAACCACTGACAGCCGGGTGCCGCCCCGCAACCTGGGCATCCCTGCCTACGCCGGCCCGCGCTTCCAGGCTGCTGATTGTGTAATGCTGGGCTGCAGGGCAGAGCACGTGCGAGACTCGTGCCCACGAGCCCGCAGACCAGTGGGGGAGGCTCATTGACAGAGGGAGGAAGCGGGGAAGGGGAGGGGGGCGGATGGTGAAGGATGCCACAGAGCCCAAGACTGTGCTCCAGGAATATGCATTCTGAGCCCCTTTCGTGCCCCTGGATGACTAAGAGGAGGAAACAGGAGCAGGGTACTCGAAAGCCAGCATTTTGCCTCACCCCTCTCCAGCTCAGAGATCCCCAGAGGTGCACTTCGCTCCGTTTTGGGTTAAAAATAGTTTAACAATTGAAGCTGAGATGGACTATGCAAGCAATAGGCGCCGGGCTGGTGTGCTAAGCACTTGAAGAACATCGCATGCCATCCTCCTCCCAACATGCCTGTGTGGTAATGCTTCTCGGACCATTTCTCTAAGGAAGAGTGTGAAGCTTCAGAGGTGTCCCTCTCCCCCCAAGAAAGGTGACTCCACAGGCCCTACTCTGGACCACTAGACTTCCTACACAATTGTAACTCACAATATAAGAAATCAGAAGGAACATAACGGATGTTCCCAGCACCACTGGGTGTTTTTCTCAATTAGGTTCTTGGGCTGGCAAGGGGTCCTTGGTATACCTTCTTCAATGAAACTTAGCCCTAGAGAGAGGGGCTTGATCCAGACCAGGCAGCTAAAAAGTACCAAGTCGAGGATGCAAAACAAGTCCTCAAATGGTGTTAGTTACTTCCTGGGCCGGCCTCTCTGTCCCAATCCCCTAAGCAGAGACCCCTCCCAGAGGCCCAGTCCCCCTCTCCTGTATCCTGGCTACTCCTTCTAACTCCCCGCTTTGCTGAACACCACATCCCTGGCTCTTCCCATGGCTGCTTTTGCTAAGGCTGTTTCCTTCCTCTGGAACTGCCTTTCCTGGAATCTCCAATGACTAACTCTCATGTATCCTTTAGGGCAGCGCAGGTCCCTGTTTCGGAACACTCTTCTGATTTCTCTCCTGGCCCCAACTTACCTGCTGAGACTACCTGCTAGCTATGTGATCATGAACTAGTTACCCAGCCTCTCTTGAGTCTGTTTCTCATAATAGTTTTAGAAGGCAGTGGTCAGACTTGAAAGTCAAAGAAAGTCCAGTGGTCAAAGAAAGTCCAGCACCCAGCTCATGGTAAGCACTCAACAATCACCAGTTCATGTTTTGAAGAGGAGCCATGGTGGGACTTGTGGATTCAGCATTGAGCTGCGAACTGCAGTTCAAACCGACTGGCTGGTCCAAGGCTGATAGAGGAGGCAATCTGCTCTCATAGAGTTGTACAGCCTTGGAAACCTTAGGGAGTGAGCAGTTTAACTCTGTCCTTTTCATAGGGCAGGGGTGGGGGACCTTTTTCTGCCAAGGACCATTTGGATATTTATAGCATCATTCATGGGCCATCCTGCTCAAATATCTAGTGAACTCAGCTCTAATGCGATGGCTGGAACTACTTCTCTTAGTGAGATGTGTGATGTTAATTGGTTTTGATGATTTCTTGGGCCTTGTATGACCTTTGGGCCGCATATTTCTCACACAAGCTATAGGTCATAAGTTCCCAAACTTATTTGGCCTACGGTTCCCTTTTTAAAAAAATT